TTCGTGGGTAAAGTTTTGTTTTTGAGTGCCTCCAAGCATGATTCCGCCTTTAATCATTAATTGCATGCATATATGTCTCTCAAATGAACTTGTTTTCACAAATATCTCCTTCAGAAACCACATAAATAATCATCTAGGTAGTTTGAGGAATTCAATAGATGCATTGCGTGCACAATCCAATGCTAGTAATATGATAACTCGAGCTTGAGTTCTCAACGGAATTCTCAAGCGTGAACACTGATAGAAACACCTTTTATTTTGCTCGAACTTTACTCCAATCATCCTTAGGTATCAATTCCAGGTTATGGATGTTGAATTTGAGTTATAAATGGAGGTTTTATTTTACACCCTGTGCAATTTCCCACTTCCTGATGAGTTTTTCCGGTTGAATTTTGTCGAGTTCGAGACTAATGGTGCTTGAAACCAAATCGAATCAATTCTAGGTAATCATCCTTCAAATTTCATGTGAGATTTGAGTTGAGAAACTCAGGTTTTGAACTCGCATGCCCTCCGTTCGTGAAAGTTCAATGTCTAAATAGTACTTTTTGATGTTGAATTAACGAAATGTTAGAAGTGGGATTAAATTGGACAAAGGCAAGGGACTTAATGAGGAAGTACGCTTGGATTACATGTGAGTGGATCCCTTTAAAACTTTTGTTTTCGATTAAATTGTTTTGATGAATAAATGATTTGAAATCGATTTGATGAAACTTAAGTAGAATTGATATTATGACACTATTGTGAATTTAATAATTTATTTTTAGGAACACTAATGAAAATGGCTTGAAAACTTTGAGTTTTAACGATAAGGACAAAATAAAAGGTAAAGTGAATAGTACCAAGTTTGACTTTTTAGTGTAAAAATGTGGTTTTTTGTTAAAGTGAACAGTATCGTGGGCTTTTCGTTAAAACTCTCATTATTTTTACTAAATGGTCATCATGCACTATGTACTAGCTAGCTACGATTGTATGACTATTTACAGATACTGATATTTCTAGTAAAGGCTAGATATTATTAGTGATTACCGATAAAAAATTAGCTAGTAGAGGATAGCAATACATAGTGGAGGTGGATCTGAGCATCCCTTTAAAGAGAATGCTAATTGTGAACCCTTGATGAGGAAAGTCATATCCTTATTAGTTACAAGAAGTTGTTTGAAGTCTGTTTTTATTATGGGCGTAGGAGATCAATATACACGCTTGCTTAGAAGAGGACTTAGATAGTGGGTACGTCATGATAAACAGTGTGTTCAAGGATGAACTTTTGGTCTACACTAAAGATACCTATGTTGATGATGCTGTGAAGGAATCCTTACAAAAGGATGTGATGTTAAGCTTTCCTTCTGCTGTTAATCATGAAGAAGAGAATGTTGACCGTGAGAAGGCTAGAATTAGAGAAGTGGTGGAGCCTCGGGAGGATAAGGGTTGGACCACAGTGGTTCCTAAGTTGAAAAAGAAGGTTGACAAGAAGAGAAATGGGGAGCTGGTGGTTGATGATGCCATATCGAAGAATGTTGGGAAAAAGGTAGGAAAAGTTTCTAAGTGTAAGTGGATACTTAGGGTTGGTCTTGTGCCGAAATGGAGGAAGACTTGAGGTAACTCTAACAAAGAGTAGAAGGTAAATGACAACTTTAAAGTTTGCTATGTATGCATGTCCTCTAAAGTTCTTGTTCACTTAAATGATAATTCTACTCTTGCGGCTACATTCCTAATCATTAAGATGACTAATATAGTTACTATAATTCGTAACAACAATGTTGTGCAAGTTTTGGTCAATGTTTGTTTCTATTATATGTCATATGTATTGTCATGATATGGTAGGTAAGAAGGGAACTAGAAGTATTGGGGAGAGTAGCTCTGCTGCTGGGGATGTTGTGGCATCTATTATGGCGGCAGAAGCAAGGATAAGTACTACTAGGCCTAAAGTGGGAGTGTTAAGTCCAAGGAAGCATATGCAAGAGTGTTAGTGAATTCAATTTTAAACTAAGAATATTGATGATGAATATGGAAGAACACTCAGAAAACTTAAGAAAAAAGAAGAAGCGAATTGCGATCAAAATCACAGAGAATATCCCTCTACAAATTCTTTCATATATTTCGAGGCTCTTTTCCTTACACATAAGAGCTCATACACTCCAACAATATAATTATTGGAAGCGAAAGAGAGAGATATAACTTTAAAATTCAATCTCAGCCATCTAAACTATACTACACTGAGATTAAGACACTTGTCCAATATCAAGCCTTATGAGACTTGACTAACACATTATAATTTTAACACACAAGCTCAGCCTATAAGCTGAATCTTTTCTCTAAACAAAAATTGTAATCTTCATTTTATCAGTTCATGAATTTACACTTCAATGCTCCCTCTAAATTGTGAACTGATTTCACTCCCAATTGCTCTTTGAGATGATAGAATTGATCCTTAGCAAGAGCCAGCCTTTGTGAGTATGTCTGCTACCTGATCTTTGGTTGGACAGTACACCAAGTTAATGATCACATTCTACAAAGCTTCATTGATAAAGTGATACCCTATGTTGATGTGTTTGGTCTTCTTACGAAAGATAGGGTTCTTAATGATTGCAAAGGCATAAGTGCTATCACAGTTTAGTGGAGTTGCAACGATCTGTGTTTCACCAAAATCTCCCAACACAAACCTTAACCAGGTTGCTTGTACTCTACCTTAGCTGGGGATAGTGCAACACAGTGTTGCTTGACTAAGGACCAAGAGAATACTCTACTTCCAAAGGTGAATGCATACCCTGAAGTGATTCTCATATCATCTTCGGATCCACTCCAATCACTGTCACAGAATCCAAACAACATTGCTCATTTAGCTTTCTTGTACTTTAAACCAGAGTTCAAAGTTCCTTATATGTACCTCAGCACCCATGCATACATAATATATGGCCTAGTTGCAGTGAGATACAACAAGTTGCCAACTATTTTCCTAAACTGTGCTTCATCTGTAGCTCCACTATCATCATCTTTTCTCAACTTATCATTTGGAACAAGTAGAATACTAACAGGCTTACAATACTGCAGTCCAAACTTCTTGAGTAGAGAGGTAGCATACTTCTTTTGGTGAATGAATATGCTGGTTTCAATTTGCATAGTCTCCATTCTTAGAAAATGATACAACAAACCCAAATCTGTCATTTCATACTTATGCATCATATCAGCTTTGAATTCTTCCATCATCTCAATACTACTTCTAGTATAAATGATATCATCCACATAAATCGACATAAGAAACATTCCTGCACCCTCCTTCCCTTTTGTATACAAGGTTGCTTCACTGTCACTCTTCTTGAATCCACATTCTTCAAAATAAGCATCAATTTCACTATATCAAGCCCTTGGAGCTTGTGTCAATCTATAGAGAGCTTTATGCAATTTGTACACCTTATATTTTCCCTTTTAACAATAAAACCCTCTGGCTGATCCACATACACCTTTTCTTGAAGTACTCCATTCAAGAATGCAAACTTAACATCTAGTTAAAATAGCTGCCAGTTATTCTTTACAACAAGAGCAATTAATGTTCTTATGGTGTCCAACCTTGCAACAGGTGCAAATGTCTCTTTGTAATCCACACCAAGCTTCTGTGCATACCCCTTTGCCACCAACCTTGCTTTGTTTTTCTGCACAGGTCATTCTAGGTTCAACTTGGTCTTGTATACCCACTTTACTCCAATCACTGGCTTGTCATGTGGTATGTTCACTAATTCCCAAGTCTTGTTCTTTTCAATCATATTGATCTCCTCTTGCATTGCAACTTTCCAAGCTTGATCTTGTACAACATCATCAAAACACTCAGGTTTAATAATACACAGGTTGCAGTGCTCATACACTTCACTCAGACTTCTCCATTTCGAAGGGGTTGAATCAAAAGCTTCTGTATCAACAAGCAACCTTGCATTTTGAGTACTTGATCTTTCATAAGAAGTGGGAGATGTTGACATGAGAGAACTTCCAAATTCATTCTCATCAGTTTCTCTAAACTCAGGCTAGATTAGAGGAACATATACTTCTTTCACTTAGTTTTCACTTCCCATTTTCATCAAAAACAACATCTCTTAACATAGTCACCTTCATTTTGCTTGGATTAAGAATTATGTACCTCTTCTCACATGATCAATATCCAATGAAAATTCCTTTTGCACTTGATGCCTCCAACTTGTGTCTCAGATCTCCAAGTATTAATGAATAGTACACAGTACCAAATACCTTGAGATGTTTAATCCCGAGTCTTCTTCCACTATAAGCTTCAAATGGTGTGACCTTGTCCAATGCACTTGTAGAGCATCTATTCAATAAGTAAACTACTGTGTTGATTGCCTCTCCCCACATCTTGTAAGGTAGCCCCTTCTCATGCAGCATACTCTTAGCCATCTCTACTATTGTCCTATTCTTCCTTTATGCCACTCCATTTTGCTGTAGAGTGTAGGATAGAGTGAGTTATCTTTCCATGCCAATTGATTCACAAAATGCATTAAACTTAGTGGAGGTGAACTCTCCACACCTATCACTTCTCAGTTTCTTCAGTGGATAACCACATTACAGTTCAACCATAGCTCTAAACTTCTTGAATATCCCAAACACCTTTTACTTATTCCTAATGAAGTATATCCAACACATTCTAGAGTAGTCATCAATGAATGTGAGGAAATATCTGTTCCACTTATCGATGGAACCTGCATAGGTCCACAGACATCAGAATGCACCATTTCTAGTGGTTCTTATGCTCTCCAAGTAGCCCCCTTAGAAAATGACTCCATGTGATGCTTCCCAAGTACACAACCTTGATACACATCATTACTATCTTGGATTGTAGGCAGCCTCAATACCATTCCTTGACTTTGTAATAGTTTGAGACTCCTATAGTTTAAGTGGCCAAATCTCTTATGCCACATCTTTGCACATTCTTGAACACTTGTTCTTAGTGCGAACTCCTTGTTTATGCTGAAATCCAAAGGAAAACACCTATTTCCTTTCTATTTCACACTGACCACCAAGTTACTTAGAGACCTGTCATTAAACACATCCACTCTATAGTCTCCAAATAGAAAAAAGTAACCATGCTCTATCATCTGGTCTACACTACGTAAATTCTCTGCAAGACCAGGTACAAGCATCACTTGCTTTATGTATCTCCTACCCTTCATTGTCTCAATAACCAATGTCCCATTTCCTGCCACTTCAACCAAAACTCCAATGCCTACTTGGACATTGGCTTTCACATTTTTGTCAATATCTACAAGCAAATCTTCTCTGGATGTCATGTGATTACTACATCCACTGTCCATGTACCACACATCACTCATCTTCTTCACTTCACCAGAGTGATTAGCATAGAACAAATTACCAGTTTCTTCCACCTGATGTGCAAAAATTATGTGTTGCACAACCTTGTTTGTATGGCAGTACCTTGCAATGTGTCCAATTTTATTGCACTTGTGACACTTGACCATGTTCTTGACCCAACATTCACCATAGTACAGTCTATCACAAAATTTACACTTGTCTCCAGTGTTATTTGCCTCATTTTTCACATGAACACTAGACTTGTTACTCCACTGTTTCCCTTTTGACTTAGAGTTCTTTTGGTATTTGCCATTGTTAGATTGACCATTAAACCTATTTGGTTTTGATGCAATGTTTAAGCTAGCAAACGCCTTCTCTGTGCTACTCTCACCATGTCTATCAAGTCTTTGCTCATAACCTTTTAGAATGGCAACCACATCCTGAGCATATATGGTCTCCAGATCTTTAGTGTTCTCTATCACTGATGCAATACTATCATAAAACTTAGGCAAACTAATTAACAAGTTCTACACAATTCTATGATCGCATAAATCTTCACCATAACTTCTCATTTGATTAATTAGATCAAGCAGCTTAGCAATATACACAGAGAGGGATTCATTGTCATTCATCCGAGTATACTCAAAATCTCATTTAAGATCTTAAAGTTTCACAAATCTTACTTGCTTAGCACCAACGAATTCTTGTCTCAGAATGTCCCACGTTGCCTTTTCACTTACCTGAGTTGCGATCCTCGGGAAAATATGATATAAAACATCACCTTGGATGATTCCAACTGCTTTAGCATCCTTGACTACATTCTCTTGCATCAGCCTCTTCTCCGCCTCCGTTAGCTCATTTTCCTTCTTTATCGAAGATTCGTAGCCATTTTCAACCAAATTCAACAGTTTGTGTGAATAGAAAATGGTCTTCATTTTGGTTTGCCAGAAATCAAATTTCTCGCCGTTGAAGACTGGTGCTCTAAGTTGTCCCCCTCTGGATCCAGCCATGTTAGACTCGATCACTGATATAAACTCAAATCACTGCAATGAGCTTTTGTTGTGAATCCGAGCTCAATCCTTCATAGACACGATGCCCAGAAGTTCAGATCCAACCTAGCTCTGAGTCCATGTTAGTGAATTTGATTTTAAACTAAGAATATTGATGATGAATATGGAAAAACACTCAGAAAACTTGAGAAGGAAGAAGAAGAGAATTGCTATCAAAATCACAGAGAATATCCTTCTGCAAATTCTTCAATATATTTCGGGGCACTTTTTCTCACACATAAGAGCTCATACACTCCCACAATATAACCATTGGAAGAGAGAGAGCGAGAGAGAGAGATACAACTTTAAAATTCAATCTTAACCATCCAAACTATACTACACTGAGATTAAGACACTTGTCCAATATCAAGCTCTATGAGACTTGACTAACACATTACAATTTTAACACACAAGCTCAGCCTATGAGCTGAAGCTTTTCTCTAAACAAAATTTGTAATCTTCCCTTTATTAGTTCATCAATTTACACATCAATAGAGAGGAGGTTGATGTAGAAGTATAAGGGAGCCACATGAATATACTTCATGAAATTGACTGATAAAGTGCATTGCTTGGAATTGTAGGGGTCTAGGGAGACTGATTTAGCAGTAATTTTAGTTTTTTGTGTTCTTCAACAGAGTGATTTCATTATTAATAATTGTTGGGATATAGATAAACTAAATGAAGTTGTGGATAGAGATATTGTTAAAAAGATTTGCTTACTTCCTATTCCTCTTCGAGATATAAAGGATGAATTGGTCTAGGGTGTTTCTAATAATGGTGGTTTCTCAGTCAAGTCAACAACTTGGCGCCAAAACAGCAACAACTAGCCGCTTATAAGTTCAATCTTTTAAAGAGAATGTGGAAGCTATCTATTATTCCGAAGGTTAAAATGTTTGTTTGGCTTATGATATTTAAGTAAAATTGTCAATAATATTAATAAAATGTGCCCGATGTGGAGCCTTAAATAACCTAAAAAATTCTACAGGCCACACGTGAACTTTTGCTCAAGAAAGAGAATATTGCCCTCATTAAATAGGCATGCTCCTCAGATACCCCCATGCGCAGCTCAACACCCCTGAAGATCCAAATAGCTGAATGATGCTGCCAACAGCTCACCTACCATGGCAAGCAAAAGTCAAAGCATTAAAGATGAGGATTAATTACCCAAATCTTATCTTTTATACATTTCCAATTGAGGATTGATTACATTCAAGTAAGTAATCCCTATTCAAATTAATTAGGGATATTTACACCATCATTCAAGATATTATTTCCTATTTAACATCTTGAGAATATTCTTTCCATAGACCTTGGCCAATAGGATGCCGCCATGTGTAGGGTAATATCTTAACACCATGGTTGGCCCTCTCTCCCTATATATATCTCCAATTTTGCCAAATTCCGATAAGCTTGTGCTACCCCTAAAAGCCGTAAACACATACTCTATTCAGAGAAACTAACTTAGGCATCAAAGATCCATTGGCCTAACCCCTTCCCCCCTTCCCCCAACCCCATGGGCGCGTGAGGCTTAGGTCTTTGATCAAATGTGTTGATCATTTTGTGGGTGCATTTTCGCAAAGTAAGAGATAGTGAAAATTTACATCAACACTCGATATGTCAAAATGAGGAGGAGGATCTAAATCATCTGCTTATCAAGTGCCAGATTGCTAAAAAGGTTTAGAATCTTTCTTCTATTGCTCCTCCAAATAGAAATAATATTGTTAGTGATAATATCTTCGATTGGATGGAAACTCTGAAGTCTTGTGATGCTGAAGACATGTCAGAGTTGAGTAAGGTCATGCATATTCTAAATTGTTGGCAAATAGGGTCAAAAAGAAGTAATTTGGTCTTCATGAGTGTTGTCTCGACTCCCGCCCGGGGAGTTTCCATTGCAACTAGTTTATGAAAAGTTTTTCTTGCGGGCTAATGAGAGGCAAGTTTGCAAAGGTACTGCGCCTCCTGATCAGATTATAAAGTGGCACACCCTAATCATATTGATAAGGTTAAGCTTTTTGATGGGTCGGTTACAAAGGATCGTGCTGCTGCAGCATGTGTGTTAAAAAATTCTAATGGTCAAGCCATTGAAGCAGGAGCCTTTGATTTGGATGGAGTCACTATTTCCGTGGTTTAAGTGATGGGCTTGAGAAATGGCTTAAGTTTACAAAGTCCAAGGGTTTTCAAAATGTGCTGGTGGAGGGTGATTCTAAGCTTTCATTGAGGCAGTACAAGGAAAGTGGGAGGTCCCTAGAAGGATTAAATCTATCATTGAGGATGTCCATAGTCTTGCTTGCTCTTTCAACCAAGTTGTTCGAACCATATATACCGGAAGGCAAACTTTGTTACAGATGTCTTGGTACTTTGATCTTTCACTTGTGAATCCTATTATGTGGGATTATTGCTTGCCGGCTGTTGCTCTCAATGCTTTTAATTTCGAAGGTTTTGTCTTTAATGATATTCTTTCTTGATTAAAAAAAAAAAAAGAAAAATTTCGTCGAGCATTATTTTGTATTTTTTTTCCTTTGAATTGATTGCCCGACAATATTTCATTGGGCAAAATATTTTAAATTTTGTATTTCAATATGCCTGACAAAATGGTTTCATTGGGCAAGTTTTATTTGTCAGGCCAAGTTGGTCAACACAGTTTCCTTGTCAGACAAACATGAAACATATGAGCAACTATTTTTGCGTGACAATCATTTCTCGACGAAATGTTGTCAGGCAAATAAATAGGCGACGAAACCTTATTTCGTCTGACAAGATTATTTCGTGTAGACAGAGAATTTTTTGTAGTGAAAGATCCATATCTAACTACAATTATGTTAGTCTTCCTCTTCCAAAGTTGAGGATCCAAATCTTTTTTTCTTTTTTTTTTTTTTTTTTTTTTTACATTCTCAGTTGGCTGTTGGTATTGAATGATATGATGTATTTATTTAATAAAAATATGCGTATTGTTGCAGTTATATTTAGAATAGGAATGTAATTGTGTAAATCTGAGTGTATCTAGAGATATGTTTAAATATTCCCTTTAGTAGTTATTATCCTATTAGAGTTGTAATCCTATAAGAGTATGGATTTAACTTATCCTACTACTATAAATAAAGGCACAATTGGGTGATACAACACACACCTCACAATAAAATCTCTCTCTTCTCTCTTGCTGCTGACATTCTCCATCTCTAATCCTAAATACAGTTCAATCAAATAGGCCTACACCACGTTATCAGCATGCTCTTGCCAGAAGCTAAGGAACTGAAGGATTGTAAGATGAGGTTTTCTTCTACAAAATTCAAAGGCTTTTATTTGTTTTGTGCTAATTAGGCACACTTAAAATAAAGTACGATATTTGAAACGTCCACGAAGCATGAAAACATTCCCCATGATGCATGAACTCCCTATATTTATATTTTTCTTCTGATATGTATTGTATATGATTCATATATTTGTCAATATATATTAGGGTCCTTAAAACCCTAGAAGAGTCAAAAAAAAAAAAAAAAACTGGGAAATATGCAGCATGGTTGCAGCTCGCCACCACGCCGCCACTAGGCACTATTGTCGACCACTACAATTGGCCTACAACCTATCTATGTGGAGCAAACATGGGAACGGCGTCGTTTGATGCCTTAGACCATAGGATAGCAGCCCTTTAGGCTTTGCTGTTCATGCCAGGCAACACAGGCCCTAGGCCTGATAGGGTAATCACGGGCCTGAAGCCTACAACCCAAACCGAGAAGGCTTGAAGCTTTTTTAGCCTTGTCCCACGCGTCTCTGGCTGAACTCCAGCAGCGCATAGCTACTAGGCCTTTCATGTCCTATGCCCAAGCCTGCCTGCAGCAGCCTGTTACTTGTTAGGCTTTGCCCTAACTTTGATCCAACTCACCAGCAATTTATGCTACTAGGCTTGACTTGCCCTGACCCAAAAACCTGGACCCCACCTCGGCTGGGCCTCCCTACACAACCCCGCAAGCAAGCTTTAGGCTACGCTTGCCTCATGCTTTTTTTTTTTTGCCCAAACCAGCAGCACTTCTAGCCCATTTTTTTTTGCTAGGCCATGTTCTCTTTTTCGACCCAATGCCAATTTCGTTATAACTCATACCCAAATATTTTTTAAGGTAGTTTGGGTTATGCCAACCAAAGCTAATATGACCCATCTGTCATTATTTTGCTTCCACGATCGACCCCATTTGGTCCCAATCTATTGAATTAATTAAAAGTGATTAGCAATTCATTAATATGATAACTAATACAAAATTATTGACCTGAATATCACTTTTGGACATTAACGATTCAATAATGTATTTTTCTACTTTGAAATGTTGATATCCTTTTGAAGTCCCCAAGCTCTCACACTTGAGTTCCAAAACAACTCAAATCCACTACACTTAAATCAACATATTGCATTCTGTGTTCTTGTAGGAACCTCTCCTTTATGAACTAATCATTCATAAAACTAAATTGAACATGTATTTTCATATTTAGTGCCTTTGAAACCCAAAGTTTTCATTCAAAACTTAGCACATGAAACCTGTAGCTTTCCTGCTTAAATTAAACCAATACATGTCTATAGAACCCAGTTTTACGATGTATGTCTATGGATTAACATATGACTAACTATGTTTTGTTGTACCCTCTGTTGTTGGGACATGTCCAACTTGAACAAGCTCGATTTCACCACTTTGGAAATATCTGAAAGAAACTACCTGAAGTGAGTTCAAGACGTGAAGCTCCACTTTACTACAAAGGGTATTAAAGCCACCATCGAGGAACCTACCGACGAAAACCCTGTTGACGAAGCTGAGAAAGCTACTGCAATGATCTTCATTCAAAGACACACCCAAAAGGAGGAAATTTGACCCATAAGCGCCAACCCCTTGCGCCTAAGGCCCCAAACTTCAAGAACAAAGGAAAAGCTACAGTTCAATCGACTTCCACTAAAATGGACATGTGCTACCACTGTCGAT